CCCCCCCCCCCCTCAGAGGTGCGATTAGAATGTGCCTTGGGCGGAGGGGATTTGTATTTGTTGTTCCCGTTGTTTTGTTTCCTCTAGTTCTCGTTAACTGGCCACGCCCATAGTATCGACAACATGTTATCTTTTAAATTTCTGTGCATAACGCTGCCTATGACGTGAAAGACGAGTAATATTATACAGAAGATAAAGGCATTGACAGTTGGAATGCAACCAGCAGCTAGCAATTAAAAAAAATATCTGACCGACTAGATAAATGCTCAAGAGGAAACGCGAAGTGTCTGAAAGTAATCGCGGAATCTGATTTCTTTCTGGTCGATTTTCTGAGGCCGGTGTGCCTTGCCCCCCTTAACCTGGAAGCAAAAATCACAGCTAATAATAGCGTTGGTACGTTTGTAAGTGCAGTGAATAGATTGCTTTACCTAAAGTTCATGATTAGATATCGTCAAACCCTACGAATAGATACATGTCATGGCCAGTCCTCATCCCCCCAATCCATATACAGTCTATCCGGGAGGTGTATGCTGCCTCATTCAGCTCACCCCAGAAGATCTACTCGGGCAAACGACGTTTGAAGCGGACAACTGCACCCCAGTTGTTTGAAAGTAACTCTTTCCCCGTAACACTTTTCCGTTCGTTGATTGCCTAGGCGATGCGGTTGGTACATGGAAGCAGCGAGTGAAGTGAAGTGAAGTGCCATGACAACCCCTTCATCATGTACAAAGGCCACTGATCCTGGCGCGACAAAATTCATGGAGCATCTTATCCTGCACAGAGTGACTGTCGCCGCAAAGCATTGTCTCAAAGCGATGTAAGTGGGGGGTACGGGATCGTATTTCTCTCCCACCTCGAGTATACTAGCGAGTTGCTCGCCCTCCTGTCCTCAACCCATCCTCATCAAAGTCCCTCAACCGTGCCAATTGCTTAGCACCAATACATACTGCTTGCCTTGAACTTCTGGTTTTAAAGTGTCCACGTCAGCCCGAGGCCACATCAAGTCATGGTTTTGTGCAGAAGGACGTCGGTTTTCCCTCGTTCCCAAGGTGAATATACGGCTGCCGTCCACACATACGTTGCCTTGTCCTTCATTCAAAAACACGTTTCTCAGGGGTACAACGCACAAAAAGAGACACATGGGCAAGAAAAATGCATCCGCCTCGGCGTCGTCTGCCCAACAGCGGCCTGATGCAATCGTGTCATCTTCCACCTCCTCCACCTCCTCCCACCCCCCTACTGCTCCCCCGGCTCTAAAAGGTAGAACCGGAGAATTTCGCCCTAAATCCCACGCACACATGTCTGAAGGAACAGCATCGACACAGAGTCCACCCCTGGCCGAGGTTGATCAACTTTGCAGGGGTTTCATAGGGATGCTCTTGTCCTTTCCGATGGCCCCCCTCTCTCCTTCCCTTTCCTACCTCCCCTCCCGTACCCTCAGAAAAACCTTCGTACTTCAACACCACCACACTGGCCGTGTGTCTTTTTTTTTCCTACATATTCTGGTGCGGCCGTGGGATGCACCGCATCATGTATCCGCTGGCCTACCTCCCTCCTATGCAGGAGGGGGAAGCCACGCTGGGGCCGCTGTGGCCGGAGGGGA